ATCTTAAATACGCTGTTTAAACATTTTACTTCTAGTCTGCCAGTCTAATGAGTTTTGAATATGAATAAATCAATTCTTACATCTTAGGCACATGTATATTTATTGTTCAGCAACCAGACTGTATTGCAAAAGTCAATAATTTTATTTTTTTCTCAATTTATTTTGAACTCCTCCCCCCAGATATGGAGATCACAAATTTGATTTGGCTAAAGCAGTTGGTAATTGTAGTCAACAAAGGCCAGTCATTCTCTTAGCTCACCAACCAAAGGCAGCAAAAATAGCTCTGGATTCATCATATAGGACAGATTTGGTCTTATCAGGTATACATGCCATAGACACTTTTTAGTGTTAGTAACAATATTTGTCATTTTTCAATGTTTAAATCTTGAATTATAAATCCTAAAATGTTTGATATGAACCTAAAACAGAATAAAGTTGTCAGAATAAAATTCACCTGAGGTTTTCAGTGCTCTCACCTATTTTACCTTGAATAGTATCTTATCTTCTTATCTTATATAATACAGTATATGGTAAACACTAAAAACATTCATTTGTTAGCGGCTCCTGAAAGGGGAAAAGACGCTATTAGTTTTGTGCAAAATGTCTGTCCCGTTTTTTAAATAGAAAAAGCTAATTAATATGCATCATAATTTAGACCTAATTTAAAACAAATAGTAATCTTGTAAACTTCATTTTCCTAAACTTTTATTTATTGCAGAATTTTTTAAAATTTTTTTTTTGAGAATTTGAATAAGAGATTGAGCTTTTTCAAAACAATTAGATCAATTATAAGACATCAGTTAGGCCAGGGGAGGCGCAGTGGCTGAGTGGTAAAGCGCTTGGCTTCCGAACCGGGGGTCCTGGGTTCAAATCCTGGCAAAGACCTTCGATTTTCAACTTTGGAATCTTTGGGCGCCTCTGAGTCCAATCAGCTCTAATGGGTACCTGACATTAGTTGGGGAAAAGTAAAGGCGGTTGGTCGTTGTGCTGGCTACATGACACCCTTGTTAACCATAGGCCACAAAAACAGATGAACTTTACATCATCTGCCCTATAGACCACAAGGTCTGAAAGGGGAACTAGTTAGGCCAGGTTCACATCTAACTTTACATTCACTTTCACCTATCCTTTGATCTGCGGGACTGTTGGGGCACTACACAAGATCTGTTAACCTTCTTTCTCCATTCTTATCTCTCATTTGTCTTTGATATAATTTCATTTGGATGTTCTTTCTGAAAACATTGAAGCCTGCCTGGGTGGACCACTTCGGGGGCCGATTTTGAGTTTGTGTTTCCACACAAACTGTCTTTTGTAACCTTGTTCAATGTTTTTTTAGTACCAGATTACAAATAAAGCAAAAGGACAAAGCAATTCTCAAGCGTTGTTCAAATTTGTAGAAAACACTTTAATAAAACAACAAAGAAATCAAACAACATTAACCGTAGTGTAACAAATACAGTAGAATTCGGTTAATCTTGTTTAGATTCCTTAAAAACCAAAACAAATCCCATTATAAAGTGTAATCTGTTTAATCAGATATGTAAGTTATTAGGACCAAAACATTTGCGTCTTGAAGTAGTCCTGTTAGCTGAATTCAATTGTAATCAAACAATTCCACTTGACTGTCAGTCCATTCTCATTTTCTTTTTTATATAAAGTTGCAATTTTTAGATTTAGTTAAAAAAATGTTAATAAAGGATCATGATCTTTTATACAATTCCTTGTTTGCTTTGCTCAGGTCATACTCATGGAGGTCAGATGTTCCCAATGGTTATTGCAGCATACTTGCTTAATCCATTTTTTGCTGGACTGTACAAGTACGGACCTAATGGTAGTTTTGTTTATGTTTCACAAGGCACCCAGTATTGGGGGATTCCAATGAGAATAGCCACCACAATGGAGATTACCAGGATAACCCTCCAGTCAGCTAATTAATGAAAAAATTAAAAAGAAAAGAAAAAAAATGTTTATAGGAATGTTTAAAAAAATATAGGAATGTTTAGAAAATTTGATTACGATAACATTTTATGAGTCCAACAATGTATGAACAACATGAGAGGACTGAATTGATAATACTAGGTCAGATATTTAATGAACTTTGTGTGGGCCTTATGCTTTATTTCTTTCAAATAACTGCATAATTACATTGCAATGATATTGTGTTGTAATGAATTGAACAAATAGTTTGAAGTTGAGTATGTATAACTAGGATCATTTTGAAAATGTTAATTTATTGATGTGTGCGTTCTCAGGTATTTTCAGGAAGTCTTTTTTTTTTTTAAAACCCATTTTCATCATTAGCTAGGGAGAAAAAATGTGTGTGGATCTCTTTTTAAAAACTGTTGTTTTAAGTTGAGCTAGCGTAAAAAAATCTCAAGTAGTAGTACAGTAGCTACACAGTGAACAGATGAGCATAACATTTTCTTTTGTATGCATTTGTATCCTCCAATTTTTTTTTGTCACAATTTATGATGAAATCCTGATGTCTGAAAGTTTCCAGTCTTGGTCTTGTTTTGGTTGTTACTTTGGTCATTCTTTAGTCAGTACATTATTTAAACAAATTTGAACCCAGGAACAATTTTCAAACCAAAAAAACCACAAGTATATTTTATAATAAGATTCTTTTTCTTTTTGAAATTGCTTTGACAAAACCAAGTTTAAATTTATTTTAAAAAATCCAACTACTTGATTTTTAGATTATTTACTTTAACATACATGTTGAAAGAAGACCTTTTGATTATTACATCTTATAGTTCAGATTTCTATATCTTTACTGATGGGCTATATTTGATTACATTTAATTGTAAGTTAAATGTCTCTATTATATGAGGTAAAATGCAATAACTTTTTCCGGCAATATTGATTTTGCAGTTGAATTTTTAGGCATGACTTTGTTATAACATGAACCAAATGTGGTCGATAGTGATATGAATCATCCAAGTCTTTCAATAATGTTGAATTAAACTTTTGGCATGTTTTGTCTGTTCTGTTTTTCATTCTATGTTTAAAATTTCTGAAAATAGATTTAGCCTAATGTACAAACATTTATAGTTGTCATATCGGTAATAAATTAAATTATTAAGTTTTGAAAAGTTTCACCCTTCACCTATTCCTTAGTCTGTTGGAGCACCACACACAATCTGTTGACCAACTTTTTCCATTCCTCTCTGTCCCTTGCTTTGGATAGAATTTCTCCCAAGTTACAATTTGGTATTAGATTAAGTTCATTTTACAAATTCTTACAGGCTAAAGCTAAGGGAACAGATTTATATAGTAAACAATACAGCAGACTAACACATACAAACATCTTGAGCTAATAGGTGACTTAAAATTTTTCCTTGTACATGTTCAGATCACACTGTTTTGAGACACTTTTTTAACTGCAGATACACGAATTTATATATCTAAAACAGCTCTTGATTAACATAACAAATTCAAGTCCATTTTTCAGTCCGTAATTGAAATATAATGGAAGGCACCATCGAACAGTCTGACAATTATTGAGGGAGAATTAAAATTGTTTTTGTTAGAATAATCCAAATGACTAAAAAAACAAGTTTTTGGTTTGGATGTTGTTTTTTTTAACTGCTTTAATTTAACAAGTCTTTCTTATTGAACACCACTGTAGAATACAATAATAACAGCCATTTACAGCTTTATATACGAATATAATGATATGTACTTTATATAACAAAATAAGAAATAGCTACGGTATTTTTTGAAGTCACATCATTGAATGATTCCATTGTTCAATGGACATGCATCAAAGTAAGAACACAAAGGTGAAAAGATTACTCTTTAAACTGATGTTTCTAAGTCTGGACCTGTGCATGTCATGAAAAGTTTTATTTCAATTGCCAACTTATCCTGGAAACAAGCTTGTGCTTGCTGGCTACAAAACAACAAATGAAACCACACCAAAGTCTGACAATTTTTTAGCATCTTTTAAAAAAATCACATAAATGCCTTTCTATGTACATATGAGAACAAAATAAAAATATTTTGTCTACTGCCACGAACAAAAACAAAAAAATGCCAATAAATAAAGTGTCAAGAATAAAATGCTATAGTTATGTACACACGGAATGGTAGAAGATCACAAAATCAAAAACAAACTGAACAAAATAGCAGATAAACAAAGTCAAAATATATCTCTCTAGAAATGAGTCTGAATATTGTAGTATAACTTGTCTGTGCTAATCAAATGTAGGACCACTGAACTAGTTAAGCTATCAGCAAAACATTCCCAACCACATGCATGTTATCTACTGTTTCTACACCATATTCATTCAAAAATATTTTTTTTTTCAAATTTCATACATTAATTTTTTTAAACTTGTAAAATGTGACACACCTTCGTTTTTTGCTATACTGATACAATGTTCTCAGAGGCCTGATGAAATGATACCACAATGTATCATGTCATACTTTCCTAAGTGATAAGCATAGCATTTGTACACATTTTGTTTGTACAACTGACAAAATACTAGACTTGTCACACATACAGATTTGTTACAAAGGAATACAACATGTCATATATCCATTGTAATTATAAACAACTTATAATAAAAAACAACTGAATGACACAAATTCGACTCTATAATTAATCCTCTTTATTTAACTAAAAATATCAACTTTTTCAGGCATTTCATCTCATTAAAAGCTAAAACATGTAATTGTGGTCCATGTTCAGGGCAATGCCTTCAGCCTATATTTAATGTATTACTACATTATTGAAGAGCTCAATAGGACGGATGAAGAGCTGGGACAAAAGGGGAACTGAAGCCACCAGAATAATCAACTAAACATACTGTCCCAAATGGATTACCATTAGAGGTCAAATGTTTCCTGACCTGACTTGGAACTGTGGGAGTGGTGGTTTCTTAATCTCACAGAAAAAAAGAATTCTACTGTGGACCAAGCAGTAGGACAAATAGAGTAAAAAAGAAATGCATAGAAAAATAAAACCTCCTCATACTGATATGTAAAGAGATCACTGCACACTCAGAAAAAAACTTTTGAAAAACAAAAACAACAAAAAACAAAATAGTGGGCTCTTATGTTTTTTCTATTACAACAAATAGGTGGAATCTTGACTTTTCCAGACATAAAAATATACTGTAACACATTGAGGTTCTAGCCTCCAGTGCTTTGAATTGTTCAATATTTACATCATTAATGCACTATAAATTGTCACTTCATCACAACCCAGAATAAAAATAAAAAAATTTCTTAAAGCAAAGAAACAGTTTAGAATTCAAGGGATCCATTTCATCCATAAAATTAAATAGTCTTAAATAGGTTTAAATTGTCTTAAATACCGGTAGGTTTGCACCAAACTCAGAAATGAGTTGTTTTTTTATCATCTTTTAAGTACATGCAAAAGAAGTTAAGAATTCAATTAACAAACAGCTCAAAATTAAATTAAAATTATCTGTATGAAAATAAAAATCTCAGAAGTTTCTTCAGAAATAAAGAATTATTACATTCTATGTCTCAATTTCTTCTCTGAGTCTCTCTCTACATTTCTTCAGTTTTGCTTTAAATGTTTCAGACATGAAAATTATTATATTATCTTATCAGCTAGCAGACGCTACTTCAAAAAAGATGATTACATACTACTTTTGTCCCTATGTCAATCTAGTCATGCATGTTAATCAATGATTTAAATTCTACCAAGTCATTGGCTTCCCTGGCTGACTCAGGCAACCTGTTCCATGCTCTAATACAAGCCCAAATCTCTGCAGATAGTAATGACAGACAGGATTCTAGTTCAGGAACATGGTGACAACAGTCCAAAGTTGGAAACTGCTTTAACAAATGAACTACATTGGATGGGGAAGAGCAACAACAACAAAGTAATACAAAAATTAATAGTTGAAAGTGAACTGAACTACTAGGTTATTGAGTGCCCAGCACTAGAGAAGTGTGCAATCTACAATCAAAGTGTTGAATAAACATTCTTCACTTATAACCACAGCAAATAAATAAATATTACAATCTAAAAATATTTACAAGTGAAAACTTTTCTTCTTACAAAAATCTTTTTTTTTGTTTTGATGCTCAGTGTATTTTATGTTTCCAAGTGCACTGGAGGAAATGAGGTTGATATAATTTAAGGGGGACAGTGCCCGCCGACCTCCTCGTGGTGTCCCCTGGTAACTGCTCTCAGGGTGGTCCGAAAAGGGCTAACATTGCGGAAGCCCCATATTTCCTAGCAGGCTCTAACGCTCTCCTGGTGCAGAGTTCTGCTGGTGAGGTCTGGGCAATGCTAAGCTCTGACCGACATAACCCCTGCACGCTCGTCTGGTGTAGAAATTTGTGTCTGTCGGGGCGTTAGCTAATGTTGAACTGACCAGCCGCCGCCCTGGAGACTAGTGGAGGGTCAAGCCATCAAAATTTGATGGCCCTAAACTGGTGGCTTTAAAAAAAGGTCTCCTGCCTCACTCCATTTTCGTAAATTAAACCCTGCCCATACAAGCGAGTGGTTGAATTAACTGATCTTTCAATCGATTCATAGTCCAATGTTCATGTCTGGACTGTTTTCACTGCTCGCTCTAAGGGGCAACCCAAATCTGTCCAGGGCTTTTGCAAGAGAGGATTTGAGCCTCTCAAGCCCTCACTCTAATGGAGTTTGATGATGATGATGTTGAATATAATTTAAGCTGAATATGATGACATCTTTATCTAAGGCTACTGAACTACAGAGATAACAAAAACTTGTGTTGAATATGCCTGCACTATAAATATATGATCTTAAGAAATGAGTTTCTTTTTAACATTTGGCCCCATAAAAACAAAAATCTTTTACATATTTATGTCCTTTACAATATTCAGTTTAACATCATACATCTGAGGATAAAGGGAACTGCATTTTGACCCGCTGGCTTAGTGTGAACACAGGGTAAACTTTGACTTCAGGGACATTTTGCTTGTCAACACTGTCGGGAGACTCATCTGGTGACAGTTGGATGAGCCTTTTTCCCCGCACAGAGCTGGATGAGTCAGTGAATGTGATTTTATAGGACATGATGTATCCTAAGTGGTTCTTGTCCACATAGAGAGTGATGACCACTGGTAGATCTCTAAGTGGTGAAATGATGTTGAGCTGACTGTCCTGACACAGAGCTAGCTGACCATTGACACAGACAATGCCATCAGATTCTGAAGTCATTCCTACCTGTCACATAAAAAGTAGTTTATAAGAATATGTCAAAATCATAAAAAAATCATCTAATTTAGTTCATTTCTGCTGGAACACACAACTTTTGGTTTAAAAAGGACCCAGTTTATTAAATATATTTGTGCACAAAAAAACGTATCAAGGCCAATTATTATAAATATTGGTACTAGTCATATAGATTTTGTTATGAGAGAATTAACTTTCATTTTGAAATTGCTAGTCCTTGACATTATTTAATCATTAATAAACCTAATTATTTCTATTATGCCAAAGGGTTAGTACTGCAGCCTTAAAATTATTATTTTAGTATTAAGTAAAATTGCATAGCATTTAAAAAAAAAAATAAATGGATACCTGGTCTTTGGAGTTCAGAGGTTTGGTGGATACACCAACACCAAATAAATAACCAGATTTGATATCTCCAAAGTGGTTGGCATTTCTGGAGATATGAACTGACCACTGGGCACTGTGCTCAATTGGTTCCGCTGTGAATGTGTTGGAGCTGAAACCCCAAGTGATTAACAACCTGTTTTGGACTCGTGGTGCCCCACTGACAGTTGCTGGGGAAACCACTGATCTGATAGATGGAGTAATGATGGGACAATCCATTTCAGTGTCATCTGAAAAAACAAGAAACAACCAATGACAGAGATTCTGGAAGCAAACGACTTAGATTTAACCATGAGCAATAATAAGCCATGATGGTTATTTTATAATTTAATGGAATACATTTGATCATTCTCACTTGAGTCAAAGAACATTAAATACAAGTGACCTGGTAGAGATGTGAACATTTTTATGTAGGTGTAGAAGTGTTAACCAGAGATGAACTCCAATTGGTGACAAGGCAGGGAAACCTAGGTCTCCTGTAGTGCCCTGGTAAGGAACTCTGCTGTGTGGCATAGTGCTGAAGTGTTAACCAGATTATATAATTTTTTTAGGTAATAAGGGACCCGTGCAATGACCCAGACTATTTATTTTCCCTAAGAATGTTAAAAAAAAAGAAAGTTAAATCTCCTTTCAAACCTTGCAATCTATAGTGCAGATGATGTAAAGGTAATCTGTTTCTAAGACCAATGGTTAATGAGGATGTTATGTGGCCAACACAAAATCCAACTGAATTTACTTTCCTAGACTTGTCATATACCCATTTGGATTATTGGCATATCTGCACAATTTAGGCCATGCCGGTGTCAGTATTCAAGTGGGATTCGAACCCAAGACCTATCAATTCAGAAGTCAAGCCCTTCTCACTACTCAGACACCCCCCAAGAATATACTAAGTTAATGAGCCACTCTCTGCCAGGATTCAAAGATATTAAACTTCTAAATTACTTAGCTACCACATTCCATATATTTCTACATAACAGCATTCATAAAATAACATGAAAAGCAATAAACAGTATTAATTCAATCCTGCAAATCAAAAATGTAGTAAAAGGCTTAGCCTGTATATTTTGCCTAATATGTAAAAAAACAAATAATGTAAATATTCACTCAATCCAAACCTGATATGTTTGATAACAACGCCAGAGTAGTTGCATGAAAACTCAATACACAATTATTAATTTTAGCTTCATCATCACCGAGTTGTGTATCCTGGAGATCTGGCATCTGGTCTGATTCACTCCTTAAGAATAAAGACAGATTTTTCTTTAAATACAGGTAAGATAATAAACAAACTTTTGGTTCCATTTTGCTTTTGAACCAAATTCTTTATTGGTTTAGAAGAGACAGACTTCTAAGCTAATAAGTATGGTATTTATTAACAGAGGTAAAATTAACTAGTTTCAAAGTCTAATTAACAGTGCACAGTGTACTAGCAACTAGGTAATAATAATAGCTGGGAAGACTTCCCCCCAATGGCACCTATTTCCATTTTGAAAAACACCCCACATTTGCCTATCTAGGTAAAAATAAATCTGAATTTTAAAAAATGTAAAAACTTTTTTTTTAATTGAGAAAAAAAATTATTTAAAACAATAATCAACTTCAAAATATAGAAAAATACCAGGTAAATAATATATAGTTTAAATAGCTTTACAACAAAAACAATGTTAAAAAATACTAAATTTCCCAGGTGGTGGCTTATACTAAGGGTAGTGGCCTTATGATTACAAAAACAAACAAAAAAAAACATAACCGGTTTTCACAAAAAAAAAAAGACAAGATGAACTCTTCTTATAGGAAAGTTTAAAGAAATAATAACAGTATCTCAACAAAATTGTACCACATTAGGCGTAAAATGTGACATAGGATGTATGGTCATGCCAATAGGTTAAATATTGACAACACTAAGATTATTTTAATATTATTCTTTATTTCATTTAAAAAAGGAATAATTATAGAAAAAAAAAAAAAAAGAGATACGGATGAAAAGAAAATTACTATCGAAATAATTAAAAGCAATAGTGTTGTGGAAAGTTATAAAAATGAGTAGACAACATCAGGGTACTTACTCTTTGGATAAAGTAGCAATATGTTGTATGATAGGATCAACTTCATCCGCTCTCTGCAATAACATATCTTCTGATGTATCCCTGTCCTTATCTGAGCCAAGCTCAAAGCTAACTTTATCTTTCAGGTCTGACATTCCTATTTCTCCAGCTAACAGTTTTTTCAAGCCAATCTGTCCAGCAGACATTTTGCGCTCAGAATTTTTTTGGTCCACAACGCTTTTTCTAGTTCTAGCCAGATCATCCTCCACCAGAGCATTAGGTTTTTCTTTCAAAGGTGTGTAGAATGTTCTGGTGCTGACACGGTTCTGCTTGGGTGATCTGTCCTCAACACTTTTCTGGCTTGACAACCTGAGGTTGATAGAATCAGAAGATGCTCGTTTTTTCCCCTCTTGCTGTTTATTCCCTTCAGAATCGTCATTTTTTATTTTGTCCCGATCCCTATCCAATGCTTCTGCACTACTAACACATTTGTCCTGTGAATCACTGAAAGGATCGCTGTACTCTGCTATTTCTGCAGATGATGACACTGTCTCAGACAAACAGATGGCGGGGGAGGAGAAGTGTCGCTGTGACTGAGCATTAGCTGATGGGCAGCTAAGAGT